GTCCTTTCCAAGTGTTCTGCTTTCTGTCCTTGTGTGCCCCCTGCAGGTCAGAGCAGTGGCAGCAACTGAGTCGTGCAGAGAGGGACAAGATGGGGCTTGTTGTTCGTGATGTCGGGGAGTTTTGGTACTTCTGATTTTTATTATTTGAAGAACAAAAAGTCATGTGGGTTAGCTGGTTTCTGCCTCACATTTTATTCTTTTCCTTTTCCCTCAGGATGGATTTCGAGGACTTCTGTCAACACTTTACAGACGTGGTGGTGTGCAGACTGGTGGAGAGGACTCTGCTGTGGCCGAGATCTCGCTGGAGAGAAGTGAGCTGCTACGGGGAGTGGGTTCTACCTCCCCCCACCCATGGACCACCTCCACCCACTGTGCTCCAGAGTAACCCTACACTGACTCTGAGTAAGAGCAGCAACGGGCCTGGAGGGACTAAGCAGCGTGGGAACAGAAAGGATGATCGACTAGGTGAGAGTCAACAGGAAGGAAGGAAAAGAGGAAGAAGCAAGCCTGATGTGAACAAAGTGACAGCAGAAAAGGGTGGTGGGAAGGTGAATGGAGTCTGGAAGGTGGAGTTGGATAAGAGGAGCCGGTGTGGTGGATGTATCAATCACAGGGACACCTTCCTGCACAATCCACAGGTAAATATAAGATTGAAACCAGGGTTTGCATCAGCACATGAATGCTAAAAATGACTTTTCATTCTTATTAGTTCATGTTTGAGGTGCGAGCCAAAGAGGAGGAGGTGCTGATCTGTCTGCAGCAGGAGGACAGGAGGATGTGGAGGAAAAATGGAAAAGGAGAAAACCTGCCTATTGGCTTTGAGGTGTTGAAGGTGAGCCGGGCCACTGAGCAACCTCACACTTTTTGAGTCATAAAAAAATATTTCAGTCCTTCCTCATCATCTGCAGGTGGAGGTGAACCGCTGCAGTCGGGTGCAGTGCGTGGTGGAGCAGGCGGCCAGCTCCATCTACATGGATTCCCGGAGTGTGACACTGAGGGGAACTCTGACTCTGGGACGTTATGTTGTGCTGCCCACCACCTTCCTGCCGGGCGTCACTGGATGCTTCCTGCTTCGCCTCTTCTCCCACTCTCGTATCAGACTCAGGTGAAATGCTGGTCAGGAAAGAAGGGTTAGAAATAGCTTTGAACGTTCTGATATTTGTAGATACTGAAAAGGTACGGAGGGCAGAAGCTGCCCAAAGGTTTCAAAACCAAAAAAGTTTTTTTTATTACAGTTTTATTTTTATATTTGCCACAATTTATGTTTCCAGTGTTTTGAATTCTGCGATTAAATTTCAATTTATTTACCTACTGACTTTCTGCATTTCAATTTATTCTGCAAGTGGCACTTTTACAAGTTCAGCATTTCACATACTGGATGATCCATCCATCCATCTTCATCCGCTTTATCCGAGGCCAGGTTGCGGGGACAGCAGCCTAAGCAGGGAGGCCCAGACCTCCCTCTCCCCAGCCACCTCCTCCAGCTTATCCAGGGGAACACCAAGGCATTCCCAGGCCAGCCGAGAGATATAATCTCTCCAGCGTGTCCTGGGTCTGCCCCGGGGCCTCCTCCCGGTGGGACATGCCCGGAACACCTCACCCAGGAGGCGCCCAGGAGGCATCCTTGTCAGATGCCCGAACCACCTCAGCTGGCTCCTTTCGATGTGGAAGCAGCAGCGGTACTACTCACCCTATCTCTAAGGGAGAGCCAGCCACCCTTCGGAGGAAGCTCATTTCTGCCGCTTGTATCCGCGATCTCGTTCTTTCGGTCACTACCCACAGCTCGTGGCCATAGGTGAGGGTAGGGACGTAGATCGACCGGTAAATTGAGAGCTTCGCTTTTACACTCAGCTCCCTCTTCACCACGACGGACCGGTGCAGCGTCCGCATTACTGCAGCTGCAGCCCCAATCCGTCTGTCGATCTCCGGCTCCCTTCTCCCATCACTCGCGAACAAGACCCCGAGATACTTGAACTCCTCCACTTGGGGCAGGAACTCATCCCCGACCCGGAGTGGGCACTCCACCCTTTTCCGGCTGAGAACCATGGCCTCAGATTTGGAGGTGCTGATCCTCATTCCCGCTGCTTCACACTCGGCTGCGAACCGTTCCAGTGCGAGCTGGAGGCCCTCACCCGATGAAGCCAACAGAACCACATCATCCGCAAAAATCAGAGATGAGATTCTGAGGCCACCAAAGCGAAAGCCCATGTCCAGCCATTCTGCGACCAAGACGAAAACCGCATTGTTCCTCCTGTATCCGAGGTTCGACTAGCGGACGAACTCTCCTTTCCAGCACCCTGGCATAGACTTTCCCAGGGAGGCTGAGGAGTGTGATCCCCCTGTAGTTGGAACACACCCTCCGGTCCCCCTTCTTAAAGATGGGGACCACCACCCCGGTCTGCCAGTCCAGGGGTACTGCCCCTGATCTCCACGCAACATTGTAGAGGCGTGTCAACCAGGACAGCCCTACAACGTCCAGAGCCTTCAGGAACTCGGGGCGGACCTCATCATACACCAGGGGCTCTGCCACCAAGGAGTTGTTTAACTGCCTCACTGGAATTGGGCAACCTCATAACAGGGGCTCCCCAAGGTGGTAACGCTGAGTGACTCGCAACCGAATGGCGGGGTCGATCCCCTCATCCCCAGACTCTGCTTCCCTCCATCAGGCAAGACGTGTCAGTGGGTGATAGTAAGGTCCCATCGGTCCTTCGAAAGTATCACTTCCACGGGGCACCTGACAATTTTCTCAGTCGACGTCAGCAGCGCTCCGCCAGCACTATACACAGTGCAGGTAGAGCACCGCTTTCCCCTCCTGAGACGCCTGACGGTTTGCCAGAATCTCTTCGAGGCAGTCCGAAAGTCTTTTTCCATGGCCTCTCCGAACTCCTCCCACACCCGAGTTTTTGCTTCAGCCACTGCCCGAGCCGCATTCCGCTTGGCCTGTCGATACCTGTCGGCTGCCTCCGGAGTCCCACAGGCTAACCAAGCCCGATAGGACTCCTTCTTCAGCCTGGTGGCTCCCTTCACCTCTGGTGTCCACCATTTGGTTCGGGGATTACCACCACGGCAGGCACCAACCACCTTGCGGCCGCAGCTCAATGCAGCAGCTTCGGCAATGGAGATGCTGAACATGGTCCATTCGGACTCAATGTCCCCCTCCCTACGCGTTTAGGTGCACCAGGTCTGTCCAGCGTCCTCCCCCGCCACCTGATCCAACTCACCACCAGGTGGTGATCAGTTGACAGCTCAGCCCCTCTCTTTACCCGAGTGTCCAGAACATATGGTCGCAGGTCTGGTGATACGATTACAAAATCGATCATCGACCTACGGCCTAGAGCGTCCTGGTGCCACGTGCACTTATGGACACTCTTATGTTCGAACAGGGTGTTTGTTATGGCCAAACTGTGATTAGCACAGAAGTCCAATAACAAAGCACCGCTCGGGTTCAGATCAGGGAGGCCGTTCCTCCCAATCACGCCCCTCCAGGTCTCGCTGTCGTTACCCACGTGAGCATTGAAGTCTCCCAGCAGGACAACAGAGTCACCTTCGAGCACCCCCTGCCCCCAGTTCCAGAGCTCAAGCCATGCGTAGAGGTGAGCCCGACTATATCTAGCCGGTACCTCTCAACCTCACGCACTAACTCAGGCTCCTTCCCCACCAGAGAGGTGACATTCCATGTCCCTATTGCCAGGGCCTCCTCTCCTGGCCGCCACCCGGCACACAATGCACCCGACCCCTATGGCGCCTCCTGTGGGTGGTGGGCCTGCGGGAGGATGGGCCCATGTCTCCTCTTCGGGCTGTGCCCGGCCGGGCCCCATGGACTAAGGCCCAGCCACCAGACGCTCGCCCTCGGGCACCCTCCCCGGGCCTGGCTCCAGGGCGGGGCCCCGGTAACCCTATCCCGGGCAGGGTAAACTGTTCCCTCGATGTTCTTCTTCATAGGGGTCTTCTGAATCGCTCTTTGTCTGGTCCCTCACCTAGGACCAATTTGCCATGGGAGACCCTGACGGGGCAGAAGCCCCCAGACAACATAGCCCTGGGATCCCTGGAACACACAAACCCCTCCACCACAATAAGGTAGCGATTCATGGAGGGAATGAACATGTTTACTGAAATGGATTCTACAAAAGCACGTTTGTTGGCTTCAGGAGAATGCTTTACAGGATGGTTCAACTAATTTACATGTCAACTATTTACATGAAAATTTAAATTACTAAAAATAAAATAAAAAATCAAGTAGTTAATAATCAGGTGAATAAATACGAAATTAAATAATACAGGAAAGATTTAGGAAGTAACAGAAAAATAAATGTAAATGACATTTTTTAAATTAAGTAATGGAACAGTTTTAATATTTATTTACTCATAAAGTATATTTATTTATTTATTAATTATTTTTGTATTTATAATTCAAATAATCTTCATTTTGGTGGTTTTGTCCTTCCGCGGAACAGAGAAAAAAAACAAAACCAAACAAACAGTAAATATGACATAGACATTTTTTTGATAAATTATAAAAATCAATATGAAACCACTATTAGCATCATAAATTTTATGTTATTTCTTACATTTAATTTTTTCCACTTTCACAGAAAAAATCTCTTTTTCCCTTCACTATTCCCAGTCCTCTGCGTTTAATTTAGTTATTTCTTTTTTCCATGAAGGGAACTGAGGGAGGACTTACCGTCTCCCTCTGTGCTCCACTGTTTTCTACCTCAGCCCACAGTGGTGACCACAGTTTATCTACACAGGGCGTCAGGACTCCGCCCTCCCAAACAAACAGGTGACTGCAAAATGAAAGACTCATATTTGGGCAGACTCTTAATTATTGCACATATCTCCCTTGGTGTTTTCTTTCTTTCTTTACACCGTGCTGGATTTTGTTCCACAGCCCCCGATGTTTACGCTGTAGTGAGATGTGAGAATGACAACGTCAGGACGCGGGTGTTCAAGGAGAGCAGAAACCCTGAATTCAACCTGAGAACCATCTTCTACAGGAGATACCCCAACACAGACATCTCTGTTGAGGTTTGGCACATTCCTGTTCCCTCTCACGCAGCACACAAACACACAGGGCTAATGGGCTTCCTGTATATTGACAGATATACAGCAGAGGTCTGCTGTGGGACTCGCTTCTCGGTGAGACTCGACTCCAGACGGCCGAGTCTGAGAGGAGTCGAAGCCTCGTGATGAATCTGCGAGGCAGACGGTCTCGCTCAGGGCTCAGAGGTTGCATCTATCTTGAGACGTCTTCCAGCGTGTGCCTCACAGACTTGTGACAGTCTGGCTGCCCTGGCAAACACTGCCCTCTCAGGTAGAAGCTGATGAGCAAATAAAGGTGCTGTAGTTTTTTGGGGTTTTTGACCTGTTGTATTTTAAACCACAGTGAGCTGCTTGGTCTCTTGCACTTTGCTGTGGGACTTTAATAATTAGGTTATTAATGTACTGACAGATGCTCTGTGGTGATCTACTGCTCAGTTATGCAGGCACAAACACAGCAGTTCAACAAGAACAGTGGGACTGCTGCCAAACCAGTTTGTGTTATTTTAAAATATGCATTGTTATGTGTTGTATTTTTATTGATTTGTTATTTATTTTTTGTTTTATTCATTAAAATGGTGATGTTTGGCTCACATTTGCATTTCTCATAATTAAACTATAAACACTGTGTAAGCCTGTTTTATTTTATCATCACTCAGCAGACCTACTTGCCTTAAGTCATTGAAATGTCAGTCAGCTAAGAGCCATAATCTCTCCAGCATGTCCTGTCTCTTTGCCGGCATCTCCTTGTAGTTCTTTGCATCTTCTTTTAAAGACATATCGTTTAAACTATAAAATTAAATTAAATCAAAGTTATTAACAGCACTGCGCTCATTTCTTTGTCAGTACATAGTACAGTGAGTGCTGTAATTAAATATGGTGACATCACTGGGACCACGTAAGGGTGAGTCATTTTTAACTAGCATTTTCTTCTCATTGAGACTCAATCTGTCTTGTAGCATTTGTCACAGTTCTGGGTCATTTGGACCCAGCATTTTGAGTTTCTTGCATTTTTGTATTGTTTTCCTGTGCTTTCCTCCTGTCTCCACTTCCCAAATCACTCCGCTGTGTATTTTAGTCCTTTGTCATTCATTGCTTGCTATCGCGTCATACACAATGTCTCCATGCTGTGTTCTCCCTTTGTGTCCTGAGCATTGCCTGGCTCGAGTTTCTTAGTTTGTTGTTAGGTTCCTGTTCCCAGTTTAGTTTTTAGTTCTGCATTTGAGGTTTTGGTTTGGTCTTGTAATGTTTATTCCTACAAAGAGTTTTTGCAGCAATAAAAGCTGAGCTTTGAGTTTTACTTTCTGTTTCTGAGTTCTGCATTTGGGTCCTTCATCCTGCCCGCCACAGCCCACACCAGGGACTTCTTCAGAACAGACGGCTGTGGTGAGTAGAACATAATTTTTCCTTACCCCTCCAAAATGTATAACAATTAAGACCGTGACTGAGGACCTCACCTCACAAGGCCTAAAAGCTGTTTCTCTCTGCCCAAGGAACAAGAAATCTGATTTTGTTTCTGATTTTGAAAAACCTGAGATTTCTGTTTGTGCCAGTCAGTTGGAGAACGTTTGCTACACTGCACAAGGGGCAAAATCACAAACTAACAAGCTAACATTGAGTCTGAACCAATACTCTTTCACTAAATCTGTAAAATTTAAGTCAGTATATTCTGAGGTAGAGTTATCTGTTTCTGAGCCTGTTAACCTTGAGTCTGTAAATCCTCAGTGAACTAAAGGTAATTGTTTTACTGCTAAGATAACTGCAGAAGCGTTAACAACTGGTTCTTCTGTCTGAGACAGACAGAAGTCCCCATTCACAGGACTTTACTGACTGTTTCAATGTTGCTCCTGCCGAGCCCATAGTTCTAATGACCAGGAATGTTAACTCTAAGACTGTGAATGTAAAGGGCTGTTTTTCAATTGCTCATTCTCAGCAGAGAAACAAATTACAAAGAGCATTTCTGTGTCCCAAGAAGGAGGAGACTGTCACTCTCTCCAGGGCTTCCCCAGAGGCTGAGTTTCAGACCTCAGCAGCCTCTGGGAGCCTGGAGGATATGGAGCTAGTACAGTTGGTTCAGCTACCACCATCATCGACTGAGAGCTCAGCTGAACTCTCTCAGCCTCCTTCAGCTGTGTCACCTGAAAGCTCTACCAGGCCATTTCAGCTGTCTGCAGCAGCTTCCACAGAGAGCTCAGGCGAGCTCACCCAGCCTGCAATAAACTTTGTCTCGCTGCAGCGCTGTGGCGAAGTGTCCAGAGCTGGCTGGGTGTTCCACGTAGCCTCAGCTAGCTTTGTCTCAGCCAGGGGCCTCCATACCTGCTGTCTGTTTCCCACTAGGGGCTCTGGTGACCCGCTCCAGCACTCAGTGGCTTGCATGCCACCGTCTGTTTCCGCTGGAGGATCTGAGGGGTCACACCAGCTGTCTGTCTCAGCTAGTCGCCTCCACTGTTTTGCGGTCGGCCTCCTGAGATCCTCTGTCACTGTTGGCTCAATGGGCTGCCTCCTGAACTGTTTTCCAGGCTCCTGGGCTCTCAACCTTCTGGGTCAGCCACCCAAATTGGGTTGTTTGGGACACTGTTTTTGGACTTTTTTGTTTTGACTTTTGGTGCTCCTGTTTTGTTTTGCCCGTGTACGGTGCGACAGAAAGCAGTGAATGACAATGTCTCTGTGCTGTGTATTCTCCCTCCGTGTCCTGAGCATTGGTTGGCTTGAGTCTTTTAGTTTCTAGGTTCCAGTTCCCAGTTTAGGTTTTAGTTCTGCATTTGAGGTTTTTGTAATGTTTATTCCTACGAAGAGTTTTTATAGCAATAAAGGCTGAGCTTTGAGTTTTACTTTACTTTGAGTCCTGGATTTGGGTCCTCCACCCTGCCTGCCTCACAGCACTCACCAAAACCAATTACAGTGCTCACAAAAACCAATGAACAGATACACATTTTGCTGGTATTTGAAGAGCCCCAATCTGTTTAAAAGGAACAGACAGCCCATTTAGCTTTTATCTGCTCTCATTTGACAGCATTTGATTATCAGGTGTGTGGACAGCTGCTATGTGTGAGCTCCTGCTATCAGAAGTGAAGGACCACAAACTACCATGACCATATTTTTTTCTCAGTTAGGATCATAAATGTTATATAATTTCTTACATATCATTTCTCACACGTCAATAGAAAAAATCTCTTTTTTATTTTATTATCACTCAGCAGACCTACTTGCCTTAAATCACTGAAATGGTCAGTCAGCTAAGAGCATGTTCTGTCCTGTCCTGCCATCTCCCTGCAGTTGGACATGGCTGATGCCTGAACATCCTTTACTGGCTTCTTTCATGTATGTGGAGGAGCATCGGTTCTATTCTCTGCCCCCCCAAATGACCGAGCAACTTGCCCTATTCCTAAGGGAAGACCCAGACACCCTTACTATAGTACGCTATAGTACAGGAGGGAGGAGGGAACGCCACAAAACGAAGGTGAGCAGACTTAGACTGACTCTTGTCTCGGGGGGAAGGCCTCAAATGATTTTTATGTAACAATATAACATTTTAAAAATATACATATATCATATATATACATATACAATACATAATTTTCATAAATAAATGAAACTAAAAGCACTTGTAGTAAAAAGCTAGAATCAGCAGTATGAAATACACACCGTAATTCAATAACAAATCTGACTTAACGACTATTTTTATCTCCAGTGGTCAGACTGAGCGGTTCGGATTACAGACCGCTGCAGACAGAGAACCAAAAGTTCACAGTTTGCATTCCTTTCTTTTAAAATCATTTTATCTGTTTTTTTAAAAGCATAAACATGTCAAATTAAAATCAAAGCATTAAACAGCACTGCGCTCATTTCTTTATCAGTACATATATGAGTGCATGTAATGAAATATCCGGTGACATCACTGGGACCCGTAAGGGTGAATCATTTTTAATAGCATTTCTTCTCATTAGACTCAAATCTGTCTTGTAGCATTACTACACATTACAATGCTTACAAAAACAATGCACATATACGTGTATTGCTGATATTCGCAGAGCTCCACTCCTCTGTTTAAATGCAAACAATAAACTTTTGAGAAGAACAAACGGCCCATTCACCTTTTATCTGCTCTCATGTGACAGCATTTGATTATCAGGACAGCTGCTATGTGTGAGCAGCTGCTGTAAGAAGTGAAGGACCTCAAACTGCCACGACCATTGCTTTGAGCAGAAAGATGATTTCACCCTAATGACACCCTTAGTAATTCAGCCTTATTTGCATTTTATGTTACAATCGTTCCTTCTTTCTCAAATATTTAACACCAGTTTAACATATTAGCCTGGAAATTTAAAAATAAATAAATATTGAAATATATCTCTGAAAACAGTCCAAAGGAATGAAACATTCAGAAACCTTTTTGGAGCCATTTTTTAGGCCGGTGGTATGAAAAGAACAACAGTTTAAAATTGCATTAAGTAATTGTTTTTCAAACTGTTTTATTTAAGTATTGAAGTGTTTACACAGTGTGTTTCACAGTCATTTTGAAGCTTATCGTTAACAACTCTCATTATTAAACCGGATGTGTGTCAGAGCCTGTCACCTCTCGCCTCTTTCACGATCAGCTGACCGCGTGAGCGAGCGCTTTAGTTTGTGCGCGCGCTCCCTCGAGGCGGAGGCTTTGCATCTGACTAGGTGAGGCTGTCAGAGACGCGAGCAGCTGGCAGGAGGTGAACTCGGAGTGAGCACAAGGTAAGAGATTTAAAAGGGAATCTGTCATTCGTTTATTTAAACACAGAAACTCATTTCCCCCTCCCTCTGTCTTTGTGTTGACTTTTTGCTGTTGTTTGAGGGCTCGAGAGACGACACGCGCTTCGTGTCTGTGTCCCACGCAGGCGGAGACGCTTACCGTCTTGCGAGCTTAAAAAATTAAGGCGAGGCTGCAGTTTAACGTTAAACGTGCTGGATAGGGAACATTATAACGCGTATGGGGGGGGGTTGAAAGCAATTACGTCACTTTTATAGGAACTCCGTAAAGCAACTCGGATGCTGTTAAAAGTTTGTTCAACAGGATCACACATGCTTTACATTTTTCCCCTGCTCGTGATTGTGTCTGCGTTCTCTCTTTTGTAATGTGGAACACGAGCTGTTTCTTTTCTCTGCTCTTCCAGTAATATTGGTCAAACTGGCTTTGTAGTGAATGCAGACACACCTCTCCTTCTTCCCCTTTATCTTCTTCACTGCAGTTCAGTCGGTCCAGTTTCCACACAGACTGAATCCACTCTGTGTTCACCGCGTTTAATCACATTTACTGTCTGTGCTCATAATTAAGAGCTGCAACATAAACTGCAAGAAAGTAAATTGAATTTAGGCTCATGTGGCCTGCTTTGCTATTAAAGGACCCTACCTCAGATGGGAATTTGTTCGATGAGAGATGGGGTCCAGCTGCAGTATGGGAAATGTAGTATTCATTGTTTTGGACTCTCTCTTCTGAGTCTCTCCTACTTTATAGAAGAGACACACTTGATAGCTGGACGCATGCCCATGAATTATAAAGTGTGTTATCATAGCTACTAATGCACGATGCCATCACCTTCATTTACAATGAAATGAAAATATGTTTGTCTAATGCGATGATTGGAGTTTTGGTCAGTAATTTCATTTTTTGTTTAAAGCTTCTCAATTAATAAAAGTTGCTCTTTTATTTTGTTTTTATTTTTAGCAATGACACTGAAATATTTGGGAGGTTTCAGTTGACGGTCTATAAATATTACAAGAATGTAAAATTTTGCAAGACTCAGAGGTGTCCATTTAACCCTCTCAAGGCAGGCGTTGCCAATTTGCAACAGTTAAAAACTAACAACCTGATCACCCCACATACATATTTTATGAGGTGTTTTTTTTTTACTCAGAAGTACCACTGCAGGACTTGGTTGTGCATTAGCAACAAAAAGTTTAATGAGAGGGTTAAGTTGTTTTTTGTTTTTTTTTTAATCAGTTACATCTTATTGAGCGCTCAGAGAGCTTCAGTGTGGAACATGGCTCCTCCGTGAAATAGAAATATTTCAGACGTGCCATCTCACATAAAGGTAGGGTGATTTACTGTTAACAACAACGTCTCACTAAAAGTTTCCTCATTATCTCCCAATGTTAATGCTAGCTGCCGCTCTGCTAGTGAATTTGGTTTTCAGATTTGATATAATCTTCATGTCTTAGATATACAGTATGTTGTGACTGACCTGGTGTTTCATCAGATTAGATGTGCTGTGTTGCCATGACAATTTTTTTTCTGAGAGTCCTTTCAATTGAGATTGTTTGTGGCTCACCACCGCTGCCACCATCCTGTGTTTTTGTTCTTCCTCAACACATCACAGGAACGCTCTCTTTCTTCCTCTAATCCTGGTACCAGTCCTCATGTTATGGTACCAAACATCTGTTGCAGACTGATTTCGTAGTAGCCTGAAAAATACAGAGTTTGGTATCCAATCCTAGTGTGTGTGCTGCCAGCAAGCTGTTGTACTTAATCACATTGGGGAAAATTAAAAAAGAATAGAAGTGGTGGATGTTCATATGCTAAAATTGGGTCGTTTTCAAACATTTCTCGATGTTTGATAGCCCGCTTGATGACCTGACAAACCTGTAGGTTGGAGCGCACAGGAGCCTCAGACGAAGGAGGAGCTCACAGACAAAGATACAAATTTCTTGTATTGTAATCAGAAGATTTGTTTTGTTTGCTTCATTGTCACCGCCTTTTCTGGCTGCTCAAAATCGCTTTGCACAACTTCACTTTGACCTTTAAAAGAATCTGAACAATTTTTTTTTTCTCTCACCAGCTCAGCTCTTTATCTTCCTTTGCAGGTGAAGAAACTCATTAGGAAAAATGGCGAACAGTAACCTTCTGGGACGCATCCGGAACCATCCTCAACCCCCAGCACCCGCTCTAGGTAAAATCTGGTGGAACACTGGTGTCATAGTTTCATTTCTGTAAATATCATGTGAAGAAAATGAGTTCAGTGTTTGATTTTTCTTGCAGCGATTTCAAAAGTGATTTTGTGCGGCATGCCCATTGCTCAGATTGCAATTGGTGAGCTCCATACTTACTTGACTGAGTGTTCACAAGTATTAAAGTTTTCCAGGCAGCTCAGATTGTTCTTTTTTTTGAATCATCCTCCTTGTGTCCACCAGGGACAATATACCTTCATGAGTGTCCGCGTGAGCACTTCATCCCCATCTATCTGATAGTGGTGGGAGTCTTTGGCCTGATTCTGTCGTTGCTCTCCTGCTTGCCCTGCGCCAGGGAGCCCGAAGAAGGCACCTCCAACCCTCTGAGCACAATCTGCACAACCTGGAACTCCTTGACATCTGTCTTTCTCTTCTGCTGGTTTATCGCTGGTGAGTTAAAAAGTAAAGGAAGTGACCCGTTTCTGGTTGGCTGCCTGTTAAAATTGTGTAAATGCAATCATGGTCAACGGACAAACAACCAGCATAAATTCACACCGAAGAGATTAAACATTAACGGCTCTCAGCACCGCAAACAGAACAGGCAATGTTTACAGTGTGCTTCATGCAGGGTGCAGGATTCCCTGTCTAATCATTAAAACTGATATCCCACGCTAGCACTGCGTGAAAGAAGCTAGCCGCTACGAAAACAAGGAGTACAAGCTCGAAAACATGGATGTAAATTAGGACTGTAGTCTTTAGGGTTGAGTGTTGATTGATCAATATGCTCTCTTTTCTCATTGGTCAGAAGATCAATAGCCATTATTCTTGGCAGAGGGAAGAGCAGATCACAATCTGTATATGAATGATGGATGTAGCTTCCAGTTCTTAAAAGTTTAGCGAATGGAGAAGTTTCTTAAACCTGCGACGTGACTGCTGCGACGTGACTACTCTGGTTCTAAAAATACTTAAGGTTGTGCAAAGTCTCTGAGAAAATGCTCCTCAGCTTCCTCATTGTCTCACACTTCCCGATGGCCTTATCGCCCTCAAGTACTGGTATTTCCTGGGTAGGGGCATCCAAACGCCTCACAAGAAGGGATAAAGAAGTAAATTTAGTAAAGTTATGTTAGAAAATGATGGTGGTGTAAGATTTGGATTAATCCATGTCTGGGAAACTGGGCCTAGTTTTCAGAAGTAATCAAGACATTATTTAAAAAAAGGTTATGAATTAAGAATGTTAAAGGTGATCACAGTAGATAAACCTTAACTCATTAAAGACTTAAATCTATCCATAGGCTCTCAGTGTTTGCTGCTTTCTGTCAGAGCCAAAAAGTGCAGAAAATGTCTCAGCTGATGTTTTCAATCATCTTTTCAATTGTCTCTTTTGCTAGCTGACATCACCAGCAGTAGCTGACTGTATCTGTCTTAATTGTGGCTTTTGTGGTAGTGCAGTTATTTAGGTCATGCAGTACAGTGCTTCTGAGTCATGATAAAGTAGGTGAGGTAAACTTGATTGTGGATAAAATAGCAAATTTCTTGCTAATTAAATATTCCCAAAATAGCTGTTTATCATCAAACTTCAATCAAATTTTATCAGGCTCGCAGGGGCGCTGGAACCTATCCAAGCTACCATTGGTCGAGAGGCAGGGTGCGTTCTGAACAGATCTTCCATTTGTCATAGGGCGTTAACAAACTGCAGGCAGTTAATTGGGAATCTTTCTAATTTTGTTTTAATTTTTTATTTTTTTATTTTAGCACCCCCAGCATCCTAATGAAAATGCTGGTAATCTGAATTTGATCATGTTTGAAAGTCTGTACTTGGATCAGAGTGAGCCTATAAGTTCTGTTTTGAACAACCAGGATAAAAGTAAGATGGATTAGATGCACATAATCCAGAGAAGGAAAAAACTGGATTACTAAAACCAGATATTTTTGAAGGGTGAGAATGAGAATGGTGTAACATGCAAGGGCCACTAGGTGGCAATATATGGCTGTTTTAATGGATTACTACACACAAACCCCTGAGAGGTACATGTAACATGAATTAAGATCATTAGAATAGTTGTCTAAGCTCAGTGAGGCTTCAAGTGCTGCTCTGCACATCCTGTCAGCTGTCAGGCCTCCAAACACTAAAGTCCAGCTTATGTGCAGAGAGATCAAACAATTATTATTCATTCTTCACTTCATTTGTTTTCCTTTTCTTTCTTTTTTTTTTTTTAAGGTAATGTATGGATCTACTCTATTTATCAGCCCAACTACACCAAAAACGCAACAGATGTGAGCACCTACTGCAACAAGACCCTTTACCTGTTTGCCTTCTGGACCACCACTCTGGTTTACATCCTGATCGGTTTGTTTTTCATGTGCGGCTTCTTGGTCCTCCTCTGCTTCTGCCTGTGTGGCCGTGCCGATCCCGACGACGACGTGTAACGACGTTCAGAAACGATGACGGTACTGGACGCACACAATGAATATGCTGCTGATGCAGATATGTTTACGAATATGTTGTAAGTGTGTGATTTGACAGCGCATCTTGTGTTGAAAGATGAGCATTTTCTAAACCTCTGCAGCAGCTACTGTTTACAGGAATTTTATTCTGAAATCAAGAAGATCACTGGTGTTTAAGAATTTATGCGAGAGCTGATTCCAACAGCAAAATTATTTTTACTTTCCTATTTGTTTCCATGTTTGTCCCAGGAAAACACGTCTATATTATAAATGTGAGGAAGGTTTTTCTCACAAGGATCTCAGCTCGTCATTAAACTCTTTTAGTGACGCTACAGATAAATATCAGCCACTGACATCGTTTACTGCCATCCTATTTGCTGATAAACGCCCAGCATCAGTCATTGCCAGGGTTCAGCTGATACATCTGTGAATCTGTAGATGTGCTGTTACATGATGAGCCACAAATTCGGATTACTGAGTGTAAATGATGAAATGGTATCATTTGGTAATGGTATCAATCAGGGAATAAACAAATACAAAAAAAATCCTGTGTAATGCAGTTTTTAATACTTTATAATTCTGTAAAGTGTAGGTTTGTTTTCTGTGGAAACCAACACTTCTCTGTATTTCACTGTTCAAAATGTAATCGCATCATTAAAGTCTGTCAGAGGTTTATCGCTGTAAGTTATGGATCATGAATCTTGAGATTTGAAATAAAAGACCTGCCGTATTTTGTCATGTCAGAAATAAAAATGAAAGACAAGAGTGGGAAGCTTTGTGTGGCTAATCGATTTTATCTGAAAAGCAGAAATTCTGGACCTACACGCTAAACGGTAGTTATCTGTGCAAGAAAGCATTAGACCCAATCGCACAATGGACAGTAAAGATATTTTTAGTGTATCTGATGTTTAAAATTTGCAATCTGGCACTGTCTCAATATTAAAGCTTATTTATTCAAATATCTGTTTCTGTGCAAGACGACTATGGTTAAGAATTGAAGTATACACCTCTATACACCATTCTGTGCGAAATTATTAGTTATTACTTCTCCTGCTTGGCTCGCGGGACACCCTGTGTTTGTCCAGTCTTTCTGCCCTTAACCCAGCCGGTCACAGCAGATGGCCCCGCCCCTCCCTGAGCCTGGTTTTGTTGGAGGTTTCTTCCTGTTAAAGGGGAGTTTTTCCTTCCCACTGTCGCCAAAGCACTTGCTCATAGTGGGTCACTTGTTTCCTTTTTGTACTATTGTTGGGTCTTTACTTCGCAATATAAAGCGCTTGTGATTTGGCGCTACATAAATAAAATTGAATTGAAAAGGGTTAGTGTCTGTGAATAGTCAACTGCCACTGACAACTGACTAATCTGGACCATTGAAACCACTGAATAAGAGCCTATTATATATCATGATTAAAAAAAATCTAATGAATGATGATAAACTAACCATTTATCTGCCTAGCCAGTTTAGGGAAAGTAATAAAATTAAGTGTTTTACAATCACACTCGTTCAAACCCTTTTAAACAGATTGGTTCATATACAATGCAGTTCTGTTTGGTATGTAGAATACACCTTTCATTATGGCAAAACCTTTAAATTGCCTATATTATTGGTGTCACAAAAGAGAAACAGTGGAGACTGTAATGATTTCACGCGGGAAGCATAGAGGCTTGCAAAGTGAAAGGCTGGAGTGGCAGTTTTAGCAATTTTATGAGTGGGGGTTCAGTGGAGAGGAGGAAACTGTTATTTAGGTTTTTTCTATAAAATAAATCAGAGAACACTGTGATAGACTAATGAAATATTAGCAGTAATGCATTGTAAACAGATGCCAACTGCAGTTAAACCCCAGAGGAAGTGCTTGCAAATACGTGGCTTCCTGAGGACACAACTTTCTGTTTCATCACTAATCCTCCAGCATTGTTGTTTTGGTGGCGCAGGCTTCTTCCTTGATACATCTTCACATCTTTTTTCAGTGCACCTCCAGGTAAACACGTTTCCTTATAAAGAGAATGAAGGTATAACAATTTTTATGCTACTTTTGTACTTGTGAGTACTTTTAATGCCAGTTAAGACATGCTTATCAGTACATGACACTCAGTCGTTTGTGTCATATCGTCCCACTGGTGGATTTGTTCGGTGTTTCATAATACATCCTGTATTGTACTCTTTTATATTTGCATTTATGTTTAATAGGCTATTTACAATAAGTACTGTCCATTCATTCTCTTCTCCCAATCCAATCCAGAGGGGCTGGAGCCTGCATTAACTAAATGTTACTTTTCAAAAAAGAAAAGAAAAGAACCAAAATTTTCAAATAAATTTGTTGTTTGTTTTGTGGTAGACTTCAAATGGGAGGAGCCACTTTATCAGTGTCCTTCAAAGGAAATTTTTTTAAAAGTTTTTTATGTTGTTGGTGGTTACTAACATTTACATACACAAAAGAGCCAGAAAAGATAAACTGGGTGTCTTACACAGCAGAAAGGTAATGCCTGATTTTATTTTCTGTTGGGGGTGGGAGGATTGGGTGTTTGCTCATTATGCAAGACTGTATGGATAGTAAACGCTTCTCTTCTCTGGCAGGCTGATCTTTTCATTTTCCTGACAAATAAAAACAACTGGACTGTCTGGATCTGTGCTGGTGAAAGTTGGCACAATGGCAAAACAAACAGGATCATTAGGTAAGAGAGTCCTGTTCAGCACATCTGCAGCTGTTGAGCCGTCTCATTTGTGATGTTAAAAATCTATTCTGTCTCCCTTCAGTTTGCATCTTAGTGCTTTTATTCGTCACAGTCTTTGCTCAAGTGATAGTTGGTAAGTGAGAGAAGCAGCACATTCAGACTGAATTTATCTGAATATATATTACCAGTGCATGTAGCATGTGTTATTTTTATGATATTATTAACAGATTAGTTGCTTCACATACAGAGATAACAGGACCAGACAATAGAAGATGACATGCATAGTTGTAAGAATACCATAGCTTCCCTTTATGCTCCTGCACTTTAACTAATGATGGTGCTGAAGGTGTTTTTGTCTTCTCCAGCCTGAATTCCAAACAAATTAGATACATAACATCCGAGACTACCTCTCAGCATCAGTAAGACGTCCCACACATATTGACACATATTGACTGTCTGCTTCACACTTTGTTTGTTAGGATCTGATCGCTCAAGAAAGCAGAAGTTGTAAAAGCTTAACAGTTGAATTAAGAAAACTGTGACTCCATGAGCGAGCCCTTCACTGTGTCCCCAACAATACACCACACCAGTGTAGACTAGATCAAATAAACAGTTCATGAGAAAAGCCAGAGGTTTAATAATAAGATAGTCATCAAACAGGTGACGTGCAAGAAGTTCTGGTGATATTTTGTCTTTGTGCCTAAAAGGTGGGGAGTACTTCAAGGACTGTCCAGGAATTCCCTTCATCCCTATTTATCTTTGTGGACCCATCATTGCCTTCTTTGCATGGTGTATGTACGGGTCATGTAACCTGCTTTGTTGGTCCGTGACCACCGTCTTCTTCATTTTCTGGTACATTGCTGGTAAGCTTTAAGGGTTTTACTCAATTTCTAACCACAGCAGGCAGCTCTTGAAAAATAACATGACGCCTGCACAGCAGAAAATACCGCATTAAGCAAGCAACAAGTATGACAGAGAAAGAAAACAAAAAGCAAAACTATACGCATAGTTAATATAGGAATTATTCAAGTAACCAAGTGATAAGTTCAGATCCTAAACCTAAACCTGACCAGTTTACTCTGGAAATGGACATTTTTAACATCAAGGAGACTTTAACTTGGCAAAATAAAGGACTAATTAAGCAAAAATATACTAATTCAAGTACTGATGGGATTAAAGGAGGAGCTTAAATCGCTTGTTTCTAGCTGTGGAGGAAGTTAGGTGCTGCACCAAAAAAAAAACAGATAAGGAAAATAGAAATAATGAAAGCTAAAAAATGACTGGATTCATCGCAAAGATTGTGTTTGTTCTCCTCTCAAGTGCCCGAAGACTAGAAATATATAACACATTCTATTCAACTGTTTCTTTAATTGATATTGCACCAAAATCATTCATTTTGTGCGATCTCTCTCATATTTCTGCAGGTAATGCAGTGATCTACAGCAATTATAAACAACTTCAGATTACAGACTACAGCTACTGCAGTCAGACACTCTACCTTTTTGCATTTTGGAGCACCACTCTGACCAACGTCTTATTATTTATTTGTTGTTGTTGCTATTGTAAAGAAGAGGCAGATGAGGTTGATGTTCAAGTATAAATACACACAGAAGGTCAAAATCAGTGTGTATGCTGTCTAATGAGTGTTTTTATGGGATATGTGTATTTAAAGCATATCATCAAATGGATAATACATTATAATTGACGTGTAAAATGCAGGATTTAACATGTTTATGTTTTTGTAAAAATGCTTTTGATATTAGCATGAACTTGAGCTTTTGATTCATTATTACAAATAATATTTTCAGCACTTGATTACATGTGCACATAAAACAGGTTGGTTGATGATTTTCTGCCTCACTGAGCCACTGGCAGCTCAGTTATTACGAACTCGAGATTCTCAAAGGTCCAAAACATACAAAGCTGAAATGCAATGAAATGTGGCAAAAACAAAACACCAGGGAGAATATTTATTTCATAGAATGCTGCAGCTGAAAAAAGTTTATTCTTCAGTGGAATTGTTAGTTAACTCCAGTGCTGTGCAAAAGACCACTTAAAAAAAACCCTAAAACTAACAAAAACAAAAACTAACAAACAAAAGCAAGAAGAAAAAAAAAACCAACAACAACAACAAGATAATCTGGCTGTTTGGAAGCAAAATATAGATAAATGAGGGGGTCTCAAGACTTTTACTTAGTGCTTTATTAACAACAGAAGTATAGGATTATTGCAGAGACAGTACCTGTATTTAGCCTGAAAATAGCAAATATTCAATAAAAGCACCACATATCCATATAGGACAAGTGATCTTCCTTCTATATGTTAATGATTTTATTTACTCCTCTAGTATTTTATATAAAGTAACGTTTGCTAATAATACAAATCTGTTTTGTCTCATGAAAACTAGATAATCTCCAATATATTATACATTTATTAAGTTATTGTTTGCAAAAATGTAAAAAAAAAAAAAAAAGTAGTTGTATTTAACTCAAACA